ACAATATTATTTTAATTGTTGATCAGAGATCGCACATTTTGATGTCAACATAAACATTTTTTAATGAATGAGTCGAGGTTCTTTAAGAATTATCGTGCAAATTATTATGAAACCTTTACATCACTGTTTAGCAAATAATTTGCATTCATGGCTTTATATGCAAGTGATGAAATTAACAACACTTTATGTTAAAAAAAGAAAATGTCAATGAGATAATAATCAAATGAGTTATGGTATGCCATAAACACCGGGCTACATTACAGGTAAGACTCATACATACAAAAGTCTGCAAATCCTTCAAAAAAAGGACCCACGGTATCAACATTAGTAGAAAAAAATGACATTGTGTTATAAAAATCACAGATCTACTTACTCAAAATATGACCTAGACCTAGTTTGAAAAACCACAGAATGGACTAAAAAGTTTGAAATTTAAAATTGTACGCAATGCAAAATACAGTCGCTGTATCTAATGTTTATAAGGACTACTGTTGCTGTCCCGAAGGAATAAGATAAACAAGAGACCTAGGTAGGTACCTTTTTTTTTTGACGGGGAAAATCATCCAATGACTTTTCCCGCCCGGGTGAGGCGAGAGGGAGTGTCAGACTCTTACTGACTAAAAACCACCCCGTTCCTACTCCGGCACTTCGAGCCGGAGCCCCGGCAACCCGTTAGGTCTTCCGCGGCTCCGTATCGGCATCAGCCCTGTTAGGCCCCATCTGTGGTGGTCTGATGGCTCCTTGAGGCGCGCGCGGAACGCGACGCGCCGTACGCTCGGGCCTGGTTCTGGTCGGGCGGCGAGTCACCCATTCTCTACCTAGGTAGGTGCCTACTTAATGATTTCCTTACAAGGGACTGTAAGAACTGAAACTGTTGAAACATTGTCCGTCGGTTCATCATTCAAGTTAGTTTTAAGGGGCTTGTTCCTAAGATCACTGTAGCTCCTAAAAAAGAGCTAATGTTACATTGATCCTTTTAATTCCCCTTTAAAATATCCTGATATCAACCACCCAAACATACAAATTCCTCTCTAATAGAACCTAAAGCTATCTAGTTTTCCTTGGATACTGCGTTTAAGTTCGGCCTGTCTTAACTGACCTTACTTCCAATGCAATAGTTGATGCAAGTAATATTTTTGCAATGCAACGGTTGCGAGCGGTTGCATACGCAACAAATGACGCAATTATATGGCTAATGTGACGTCCTGGATTATATTGTTACTTGTTAGATCATAGCTGTGAATCATTACGTAGTCGGGTTTAAGATGAAATTGGATATTCGTCATCAAGGAAAATGTTGAAAGAACTTCGCATTTTTATTACATTGGTGGTTAAAATCCATTTTCAGCTTACAGTAAAACGGACTGTAGGGATGCCCGATCTGAATCGATCTTTTAGAAGATCGATTCACGGCAATACGATCTACTGATTTTTTGAATCGATTCAACATAATGCGATCTTCGCTCGGATCGAATCGTATACCTGAAAGATCGTAAGACGCCCGTTTTCTTTAGCTGGAAATACTTTGACCGATAGCCGTAATAGGCTAAATCCAGCACGTTTGTCCAAATTATTATTTATGAAGAGTTTAAATGAAGACAGTTGGGATTTATAGTTTTGTAAACTTTGTTTTTGTTAATATGAAAACCGAATTTAAGTACATTTACATAAAAATAAACAACTTTGCATGCAAACTGTGCCTTTTTAATATACCTTTATAATTACGATACGATCTTCAGAGATCGAATGAGATCGATTCAATGTAATACGATTCAGATCGTAGATCGATTCACAGGGTTGCGATCCATTACGATCCAAAAAATCGATTCAAAGCTTTAGCTTTGAATCGATCTTTAGATCGGGCATCCCTAAAACGGAGTGAATAGAATTTGAGGGGTGCATAAATACTCTTCTGTATCTATTCACACCTCGAATTCTATTCATTCCGTTTTACGGTAATACATATTTGTACTCAAGGAAAAAAAACCAAATGAACCTCTGGGAACAGACATGACTGCACGATTGGCGGGTTCGATTCCTGCATGGGTCTTTGTGTGATCCACAATACAGGAGAAAATCCTAGTGTGGGGCAACGTTTAAAAAATGGATCTATAACAAAAACGAAACGAAATTTTAATTTCGTCATAATTATTTGCGTTGTTTTTTGTTTGTATATCCATAAAACTGTTTGCTGTATAAGGTAAAAACATGACACAGTTACAAAATAACGTGGCTATTTAAAAGTTTTATTTTAGATCTTCATTTATGACCAATTACGACTATCCAAACGAAAATAAAATTAATTTATCAATCTGTCAAAATATTTCGCTGAGTCGATGGATCAGGCAAAGGTAAGCTCATGTAATGCCTTACAAAAAATATGTTGCCTTATAAAATTAAGTTATTATTTTTGCTAATGGGTTGAAAATGTTAATACAGATTCCGGTACCTACGTAAGAATCTATTTTATTACTACCTATTTAAGTATTTCGATGTCGTAATATTTATAATTGGCATGCAAGACAGAAGCAAGGATAACATTTTATTTAAACCAGCTGTAGGTCATAAAGTTGACCTTAGATATTATTTATGCAAAGATGGTGACCTTATAAATTCGTACGTAAGGTTTTATACATTATACCATAGATTTACATAAGATTTATTACATGGATAAGCCTGATGTAAGAGCATGGTGACCCAATGGTATCGGCCCCGAATTGTGAATGTTAACCGTGGCTAAAAATCAAAGATCATTATTTTTTAAGGTCGAAAATAGATACTGCCAAAAACCAAAACCTATAAAGTAAAAAAAATAAAAACCAATAAGGTCTCAAAATTTATATTTTTAATCCAGTTTATATTAACAAGGTGGAATTTTGCTAATTCTGACATGTCACGAAAATACGAGAAATTACTTGATTGCGTTATATTAATGGGTAATTGTTTTCCTTAAGTAAATTATTTAATTCTGAGTTATTAAAATTACTTAAACTCGTATTAAAATATCAATTGTACCTAAAATATCGTGTGCCATTGTTTTGTGGAAGCGCGGTGTTCATCCAAGCAGGAAAACCCACGGAGCGTCACGTCACAAGTTATGAGAATTATCGTTTTTGTTACCACGCTTAAATTACGTAAGTAATTAAAATCACTTACTTCTTTTTTTATTGTAATATCAAGCCTTTAACTTCCTGAAATATTTTTGTTAGTTACGTTATTAGTGCCCTTGTACAAGAAGGTGAATTTATTGTCAAGCGTTGATCATAATTCCAGACCCCGTGCAATTTCTACGAAGTATGACGTCGAAAAACCCAACCCATTGAGGCAAAGCATCGAGTACTTACGTATTGAGCTGATTCCAAGGATCAAAATTGTCATCATTTTATGGAACTTTACAACATTATGTCTATGAGATTTCAAAACTTTTTTCCTTAGGAGGGATTGAGAGTCAATCTCCCCAGTCCCCAAATCATCAATCCTTATACTCCTCACCCCTAAAAGGTTGGCAACGCACTCCTCTGGTGTTGCGGATGTCTATGGTCGATGTGCGACGCCATCGGATCATCAGTACCTATGCTCGTTTGCCGGCCTATCTCATATAAAAATAACTTATCAGGATACAAAGATAATCTAAAAAATAATATGAACCCAATTCTATTTAATCAAGGGCCTTAAATTATCGTGATACATGTTACTTCACACAAATTATGAGTCAGTTTACCAATAACCCTCAAATGTTATAGGTATTTCTCACTGACCTACTGACTTAGAAAACGCGTCCGAATTTGCTGTGCATTTTTTTTCAATGCGATTGTGACATCGCGTTACTTCAATTGTTACGTTTGCCATTTTTTATGACTTGCTTAGATCGCAGAATATTAGCTTGACGGACATCTTGCATGTTGGACATTTTTTTTAATTAGTTCAGGGCCAAATACTTTCTTACTATAGGTCTGTGCAATGGCATAGATCAAAATGTTGATCTCAATAAATTCTAGTTGACTACGTGTGTTTATGAATATAATTGACATAGGTACCTACACTACACTTTATAGCCCGACCAGGAACAACAAATGTGGAATATACAAATTACCTACTACGTGAGGGAATCAAACCCTTGACACGGTGGTGGGTGTGTAAGTACCTACACCATGTAGGTAGGTACTTCGCTTAGCCCAGGGATAAAACCTAGTTTTAATTATTGGGGGTTCCCAAGAATTAAAACTAGGTCTATATCATTAATTACTTAATTACGATAGTTATGTAATAGCTATTAGGACATTGCAATTAGAGCGATCATCTAAATACCTATCTATTTAAACATAAATTTAAAATAAAATAGTTATACGCATACGGTCCTATGTATTATGCCAGTCTAAAATAATATTTTTTATCTATTTAGTAGGTACTGCAATATTTCATATTTATATCAAATTACTATCAAATTACTTAATCGAAATTAGGTGAAACAATCGTTCACGTTGTGCTTAGCAACATTTCAACAATATTTTGCAAGTATTCTCGTGTTACTACTAATATGATGACCATGAATGGACTACGATTAATAAACCTTGAGGCTTGATTTTTGTTGGCAGATGTTTTTCCTGTCATTATACCACTTACCTGCATTTACATGAAAACAAGCATGAAAATTAAAATGTTATTGTTCAGAAATCTGTTGTAAATCCTTTTATATTCTTTGTGCTTTATTTTCAATATTTTATCACTATGATATCGAACAGATATGTAATAAAATTAAGAGTTAAGAAAATATATGTCTAAATAGGACCGTTACTAAGCCTTGAATTATTTAATTAAATTAAGTATTAGCTTATTTTAGACTAAAACATATATTTAATTTTTACTATGATAAAATTCTGAATTTAACGCCATTTCAAACATTTCCATTTTAATTCATCGCTCATTTTACGTGTCGAGAATACCTTCCAGTCTACTTTGTCTATGATCTGTGCAAGTATCCAAACCCAAGTTTAGTAACCATTTAAAAAGGTTCCACAAACTGTTTATGGTTCATACTTGACAATCATGGCGAGCACGTCGAGGTCTGTTTTTCTGATTTATTTTATTCCTGTTTCGTTATTTACGACGATATTTATATATTGTACAGCTGAATATAATTTATGTTTGCTATGATTATACGTAAGTTTACGTTGGTGCTAATAAAGTGTAGCAAGAGGCCGCGACAAAGTTGTTTCCCAAAGATTTGATTTCTACTTGTTGATGAATGATGACCCTACTTTCTTTTGTGGTTTTAGGCTTGAGGCGAATAAGGTGGTGTGCTATGCCCATCCAGATGCACCACTTATCGAAGATTACAGGGCTGGGGACATGATATGTTCGGAATGTGGGCTTGTGGTCGGCGACAGGTATGTACCAAAATGTTTGTTTGGCAATATTTACGAAACGCATTGAGCTTTTCACCATTGGTGTAATGTCGTAATAATAACAAAGTTGCTGAACTAATGCGAGTGATGTATTTGATTTCTATTATTTCGAGGTCGATCATTAATTGACTAATTGTGCAATGTGGAAACTTTGAATTGCACATAGGAACTGACAATTAAGATAATCACATGAACGCAAATCAACGTTTGTCTTAACAATACATTATCATCTGGAAGGATTTTGATGTGTAATTTTAAGAGAGAAACAAATAGAATTTAATATGTCCCAGTAGATACAAATGTGGTAACATCTGGGGTATTTTAGTAAATGCCCAGATTGTGCGTTTGGATGTAGAATAGACTAATTATAATATCAATTTCAACATCGAACAGACATAGTAAAAACTGAATTCCATTTGTAACCATAATTTTCTGTTTTCAGAGTTATCGATGTGGGGTCCGAATGGCGTACATTCAGCAACGAGAAGTCCGGAGTAGACCCATCTCGTGTTGGTGGCCCGGAGAATCCCCTTCTTTCCGGTGGTGACTTGTCAACAATCATTGGGCCTGGACGAGGAGATGCATCATTTGACAGTTTCGGAGTATCAAAATATCAGAACAGGAGAAACATTAGCAGCACGGACAGGGCTCTGATAAATGCATTCAGGGAAATAAGCACTATGGCAGACAGAATAAACTTACCCAAGACTATTATTGACAGGGCCAACAATTTGTTCAAACAGGTATGTAGACTATGTATATCACTGACAATAGATGATAAATTAATACTTAATAATTATTGTATTCTATTGCAAGTTCTTTTAAGAATTAAGAAACATCTTAAAATTAGGTCAATGCATAATACTTAGCATATTTTCATTCTTAACCCCTTGGAAATTGTTGAATATCATCCCCTAAATTTGTTCATACAAAAGTAGTCTAAACATCAGAAATAAGGTCTATAATGTAGTTAGTGGAGAGCGGTCACCGGTGACCGCTTGGGGTTAATTTCTGAGGCAGGGAAATGTACAGTAATATCTACATAATTATATTGATTAGAAAATATAGGCTTGCAATGCAAAATATACTTTTCTCTTATTTTTCGCGTGTTAATACAAATTCCGAAACATATGAATTCCAATTTGAAAAAAAATACCATCAAAATCCCACAGAATCTCAATTTTCATTCAACTTCTATGGCTTATTAATTTCGAATATAAAAAAAAAATATCTAAAAGAGTGATAAATAAATTTATGCATATAACTCATCAGTAACAAAACTGGGTTTTGCAGAAAGATAATAATTTTCAATCGGATAATAATACCTATTATTAATCAGATAAAAAATTATACCACATTTATTAGTAAGAAAGATATCTGTTCAATCCCCAAGCAGGCACTGGTGACCACTCTCCATTAACTCGATTATAGACCTGATTTATGATGTTTAAAGACTACGTAACATCACGCCTTTTACCCCGAAGGGGTAGGCAGAGGTCTACATTATTCTACTGTACAATGTAACACCCCCTATTTATATTATGAGTCCCATGTAATAGGGGGTGAGCCTATTGCCATATACTGGGCACAATTCCAGACTCCGTGCTACTACTGTGAATTTTTGAAAAAACCCAGTAATACTTTGCACGACCCGGGAATCGATCCCGAGACCCCTTGCCCGGCAGTCGCACTTGCGACCACTCGGCCAATGCGGCAGTTTAAAGACTACTTTTGTATAAACAAATTTAGGGGATGATATACCAATGTAATATTCAATTATTTAGTTAATACGCCTCAATTAGAATTTGCATTATCATGACGGCACATAATATTAAAGTGTTTTTAATTTAGATTTTTTTTAATTCATTTACATTTTTAACTGTTGCTTCAGAAATAAACAAAATGTGGTCTTTTGAATCATGTTGTAAATGTATATTTTAAAAAGGCAGCAATAGTTATTAACTACGAAAACGAAGAAAACATTTAAAAACATATTGCTTGTAATATTTGTATGCATTGTTTTAATATTCATACTTTACTGAACATAATAATTATACATGGTCAAAGGCAATTTTCATGAAAATATTACATTATGAAATACATACATTGTAAGTTTTGTTATTGTGTTAATATTTTGTGCATAATTCTTGACCTTACTGGCTTATGCATATATGAAAATAAAATTAGCATCCTTTCGAGGGGCATGGACAATGCAATATTGTTGAAGAGGAACCGTATACACATTTGTTAAATGTAATATTTAAACAAATATTGTTAACAAATAGTTATTGTGTAATATACTACTAACTATTGTAACACAACTATCAAATTATTGCATTGCTTAAGGCTTGTATTCTATAATGCATTAGGCATAGGCCTGTGCACAATTTACCTACGTACAGCACATAGACGCCTCAATAAGAGTTGCCATTGATGTTTTTTCATTAATCCATATATCCCCAAGCGGTCATCAGTGAACACTCTCTACTAACTACATTATAGACCTTATTTCCAATGTTTAGAGACTACTTTGGTATGAACAAATTTAGGAGATGATTTTCAACGGGTTAAGTATGTAGAAATATGTAGAATATTTAGGCAAAGTTCTCCCTCTTATACCATCCATGGGTGACACTAATAGTTTATTATCAACTAGCTTTTACCCGCGGCTTCGCTCACATCACAAAAGGATAAAAAGCCAATGTGACATATACCAATACACACAGCGCCATCTATACCAATACTTTTGTTTTCCCTCGGGAATATCAAATTTTTCCGGTATAAACAGTACCCTATTATTTAATCCGGACTTCTAACTATACATCTGCAAAATTCAAAACAATCGGTTTAGTAGTTATGGCGTGAAAGCGGAACAAACAAACAAACTCATTTTCCGATTTATAATATTAGTAAGGATTGATATGTGCTTGTTAGCCCTCCTATTCCATAAAAAGACTACACAAAGAATTTACTTATTAATTACAATTACATATATTAAATGATCTATTTTGTATTTCGTTTACAGGTGCACGATGGCAAGAACTTGAAAGGTCGAGCGAATGATGCGATAGCCTCAGCCTGTCTCTACATAGCTTGTCGCCAAGAAGGAGTACCACGTACATTCAAAGAAATCTGTGCTGTCAGCAAAATCAGCAAGAAGGAAATAGGAAGGTGTTTCAAACTGATCTTGAAGGCCCTTGAGACTTCAGTGGAACTTATCACCACGGCAGACTTCATGTCTCGTTTCTGCTCAAACTTGGGTCTGCCCAATTCAGTGCAAAGAGCTGCTACACATATCGCAAGGAAAGCCGGAGAGCTGGATATTGTGTCCGGACGCAGTCCCATTTCTGTGGCAGCAGCTGCAATTTATATGGCTTCTCAGGTATGTGATTTGTTTACTACAATTTATATGATGATTATAAATTAGAGTGAGGTTCTTCTTAATCCAAAAGTACTTACTTTATTTACTTTTATCGCTTACCACCAGGCGAGATAGTGGTGAAACGTCAGTCCATCAAATGTAAATAAAAAAAAACTTTACTAGTCATTAACTCGTTGAGTACCGTCATTATAGACACAATTATAGAACAATAGGTTGCGGTCACCGGTGACCGCTTGGTGTATGACAGTTTAATCGTGTAATAATTAATTAAGTACTTAATCTTACACAAAATCCCACCCTTACTGAGTTGAACTCTTAATTAATAATAACATAAAATAGGATTTAAAAAGCAAAATTGTTTATTTCCAAAATGGCTGACCCCGTGTTCCTTTGAGCAATTTACTATCATCTTGTGTTAAAATTTTCTGATTGTAATTCTGCAATAAAAAATAAAAATGTGATCATTTCTATTCTTGTTATGATAATTAACTTTAAATAATGAAGTATGATTCAACTGATGTAAGGTTTAATTGCTTTTTTGCAGTTGTTCAAATATATTTTAATTAGCTACAAGTACAATTAAACAATTTTATTGATAAAATTTTATGCAAGTCAGTCCAAATTCTGTTTCTCATCAAAATAAATGTCATGGTGTATCTTAATAAAAGAAATATTCAGAGTATAACGGTTATAAATGCTGTACATTATTACTATGAAAAGAATTGAAGAAGATTGCCTCGTTGGCCGAGTGGTCGCAAGAGCGACTACCGGACAAGGGTTCTCGGGTTCGATTCCTGGGTCGGGCAAAGTATTACTGGGTTTTAAAAAAAATCTCAGTAGTAGCACGGAGTCTGGAAATGTGCCTGGTATAATGGCAATAGGCTCACTCTCTATTATGTAATATATTGCTATGTGATGTATATATTAATATAGGGATTCATAACATAAATAGTGAAAAGTGGGTGTTACTTCTGTGTGCACCTCTGCCTACCCCTTCGGGGATAACAGGCGTGATGTTATGATGTTATGTGCCACAAAATATTTGCAGACATATCCAAAAATCTCCTAATTAAGCTCGGAATGATAACAGGCATTATCTTATTACAATGAGTTGAAGAAGTGGATGAACTATAACTACTCATGCATGCATTTCAAGGTCTACCAGGATAGTGTACACAAAAATAAATCATTACATACTTGAGCAGAATTCGCACACAAGTGCAAATATGATGCTAAAAATAAATATTTAAAGTACACGTGTTTTTTAAGTAAATATTTTAATAAAACTTGACCTTCTTGCAACTTTGATGTAATCTTTGCAAGGACAAGGGCAAATATACATAACATAACATCACGCCTTTTATCCCAGAAGGGGTAGGCAGAGGTGCACATTATACCACTGTACAATGTAACATCCACTTTCACTATTTATGTTATGAGTCCCATGTAATAGGGGGTGAGCCTATTGTTATATTCCGGGCACATTTCCAGACTCCGTGCTACTACCGTCAACTGTGGCATCTTTACTTTCCGTAGGTATCTTTACCTAAGCATACCCTATACTAGTTCAACTTAATTTTTGTTTTGTCTGTGGTAGTTTATGTTATTTCGCAGATGTTGGTAGATTTTGTAATAAATTGTGGTAACCCAAAAAGTTTTTTAGGCTAGCAACTTCGTTAACTGTCAAATTAGAGAACATTTTCGTTACGTGCGGTCAATTTTGTGTGCAGCGCTTCCGTGTAAAGATTGGTGTTTCCTACAGTAAATTAAAGTGCAGGTAAGTTGCGTATATTATATAGTATTTGGTGTATAGTCATGGAGGTATATCGTAGTGATTAAATCCTAAGAATCTTCTATTTTCTGAGTTATTTTAAAAGGTAATGTTATTTGAGGTTAGGTAAAGTTACCAAACTCAGCATGAAGGCAACTTTACCTATGACTAGGGTTGTCAAATTTAACTTGCATAACTAATCTGGTTTTATTTTTAATTTTTTTAATTTTCGTTTAGTTGTGCAAAGCACTAACATGATGTGTTGGGATAAATGTGACAAATTTGGCTGATATCCTATTACAGACATTATATTCAAGATGCCTCCAAAAGTAAGCATCAAACAAAGAAATAGAAGACGTCTAGGAGCGCGACCTTACAAAAATTACTCTGAAGAAATGCTATTGTTGGCTGTTGATATGGTAAGAAACAAAAATACTACTTCTTATGAAGCTGAGAAGCAATTTGGTATACCACGACGGACAATAGAAAAAAGAGTGAAAAACCTGCATACTGATAAACCTGGCCCGCGTTTCCGTCTATCTACAGAAGAAGAAGAAAAATTTGTCAAAATACTCATAGCAGCAGGTGATTTTGGATGCCCATTATCACAGTTAGACTTAAAACTGGTGGTTTATGACTACCTTAAAAAAAATAACAAGACTTACATATTTAATGACCAAGTTCCCGGTAATTGGTGGGTAAAACATTTTCTAGAGCGGCACCGAGACCAACTTACCCTCAGGTCTACTCAAAATATTACAAAAGCGCGAGCAGAAAGAACTTTGGACGAATTCAAAGCTTATTTTGAAAATCTGGAGATTTCTCTTCAAAATGTGCCACCTCAAAATGTTATGAATTATGACGAAACAAATGTATCTGATGACCCAGGCTCCACAAAATGTATTTTTCGCCGAGGAGTAAAATATCCCGAAAGAATCATTAATCATTCAAAGGGCTGCATATCAGTAATGTTTGCGGGAACTGCTGACGGTGAACTTCTGCCGCCATACGTTGTATATAGATCTGAAAACTTATGGACTGAGTGGTGTAAAGATGGACCAGAGGGGGCGCGCTACAATCGCTCGAAAAGCGGTTGGTTTGACTCAGTTGTATTTTTGGACTGGTTCACAAATATAGTCATTCCATGGGCTAGACAATTACAGGGTCCGAAATTAGTTATAGGGGACAACTTATCCAGCCATTTAAATCCTGATGTGATAGAATTATGTGAGGCTCACCAAATACGTTTTATATTTTTGCCTCCTAGATCTACTCACTTAACGCAGCCCCTCGATGTTGCTTTCTTCGGGCCTCTGAAAAAAGAATGGAGGAAAATCCTTCTTCGGTATAAAACGGAAAATCCTAAACAGGCATCGTTAAACAAAACCCATTTTCCTCTTCTACTGAAGCAATTGATGGATGCTGCTAACATAAAAAAACAAAACATGCTGAGCGGTTTTAAAGCTACTGGCATACACCCGTTTAATCCTTATGAGGTTTATAAAAAACTGCCCGAATACGAAGATGAAATTAAATATGACGTTGATCAAACACTGCTTGAATATCTTAAAGAAAATAAACATCCTAATCCAATTGAACGAGGGAAAAACACCAAGTTAAATGTTCCATCGGGTAAATCAGTCTGCAGCGCCGACATCTCATCATGTTTGTCGATAAATAGGAAATCTGCCACGAAACCAAAGACCACTATCAAAAGGAAAGCGACTGGCCAAACAGAAGAACATATCTCTGAATTGAAAGAAAGAGAAGTACAGAGACCATCAGAAAACTTAAGTAAGGATGTAAAAAAAAGGAAATCAATTAAAAGAAACAAACGTCGTGTTGAGAGTTCTTCAGATTCAGAATCCAGTTGTACAATACCTTCTTGCAATTCATCAGAATATGACCCCAGAAATGATGAAGACACAGAAACAGAAAATGACATAAATGAAAGCATAATGGTTGGTATTGATTATGAGGAGAGTATTGAAGATCAGCACGTGAATAGAAGCAATGAAGAAACTGCAGGTAGCATATCACGAGATGAAGATAGAAAAGTCCAGAACGTAAAAGAAAAGAAAGATGAAATTCCAGAAAGTCAGGAAACTAAGGAAGTTATGGGTGGTTTAGATGGCAGTAAATTGAGCTCGGGAAACCAAAATACAGTGACAGTTTTATCGGACATAAGAAATACAGCAGAGAATCTGGCATATTTCGATTTGCGCAAATATGGTCCTCTTGCACTTGAAGAAATAAAACCCGATCATATTGTGAATGTAAAGTATAGAACAGAAAGTAAAAATATACAAAGTTCCAAAATACTTAAAAAAACAAATAAATCTGAGCATGCAGGCTTGATTGAAACTAGAACAACTAGAATGAATAAATCACCGTCTCCTAATATTGCTTCGGACACGAATTGGGGTGCAAGTTGTAGTACGGAACCCAAGCAAAATACTCCTTTGATTGATTACGAAGTCAATGATTTCGTATTAGTAAGATATATATTAAAAAAGAAAATTCTGTATTTTGTAGGTAAAATAATTGTTAAACTTACAGATAAATATCAGGTTTCGTTTTTTAAGAAATCTGGAAGAAATGATAATATAAAATTTACTGTACCAAAGAAAGAAGACATTGATACCATAGACAAAGGAATGATTGTAAAAGATGTTCAGCTGCTACCTTTAAGTGAAAAAGAAACTGAATTTGTATTTTTGGAAGATGATGACTTAGTGTATTTTGATTAGGTGTTGTTTTTTTGAAAATTTATGAGCGACACGCAGTTTCAGATTATGAAAGAATAATTATAAAGAAGTTCAACTAATAGGTGCCATTACGATATTAAGAGATTGAATTAGTTTTGTAGACAATGATTATTTATTGTACGTACATACCTATAAAGTAGGTATTTTGCTGATTGATTTTGAAGAGAGAATTTTAAGACTGTTTTTTTTTTTGTACGAATATTTTTACGTTATCAAGAGACTGAGTTACCTACTTTTGTAGAATGTGATTATTTTATGTAGGTACTGTACGCCACTGCAGAACAACCTACCTAAATCTGTCAATTTTTTTCGATTATGTTGACCTGCTCGCGTCTGTACTTACTTAGATTTTTAATTATTAATTTTTTGGAGAGAGAATTTTAAGATTTGTGTTAGTTTTTTTTGTTACGAATAATACTTTTACGTTAACAAGAGACTGAATTACTTTTATAGAATGTGATTATAATTATGTACCTACCTAGGATTTTGATTATTCATTTTGGAGAGACAATTTTACGATTGGTTTTTTTTTTGCATACCTACTGTTTAACGAATAGGTATCAAGTTTTGATTATAATTACGCTAAGTACTTAATTTTTTGACGCCAAGTGAATGCATAAATAAAAGTTGATTATTAAAAAAAAGATTTAAAGTGTATTATTTTTCGACAACCCTGATGACATGCGGCCATTTCTATGATAATTTTGAATTTCTGTTGGCAACTTTACCTATGTATTGGTAGTGGTTACCCAAACGAAGATGATAACTTCAAAATAAAATACATCGCTTTTTACCACTTGGACCTTTGGCAACTTTACATTGCATGCACTTTGGAACACACATTCGATAAAAACAGTATGCTAGGTAAAGTTGCCAAATTTGTGTCAATTTTACCTCGGTCATATTCTTGTTTTTTTTAGCGATTCTATGTGAGATTTAGTAGAATTCATTGGTTCATCTAAAAGAGACACATATTTTTTACCAAGTAAATCAATAAAAGTTTAAATATCTAGCTCCATGTTGTGGTAAATAGTAAAAATGTAAAAAAATACGGTAAAGTAGCCACAGTTGACGGTACTGAGAATTAAAAAAAAAACCAGTAATACTTATTAATATTATAAAAGTAAAGGGCAAATATACAATATTTTATTTAAACTGTATTTAATATGATATTCATTTGTTTAATATCTGAACGTGTTTTTAATTCACTGAATAGGGATGATGACAGAGTATAAAAATTAAAAATGTAATTAGTCCGTCAGGTAAGTAAAGAAAAATTATTAGACATGCATTTTTTATTTTGTTGTATAATAAAATGATACTTAGATATAAAGAATCAAAATTTAGAAGTAGGGGCTAAAACGTCATTACTACGTATAAAATGTACATAGAAGTGACGTCACGCGACATTTCAAATCAATATATCTTCGAAACTATTCGTTTCCGTAAAAAAAATAAAAATACGTGTCTAATGTTTTTAAATAATCTACCAGACGGACATTAAAATTAGGCATTTACCCTATTGAAATTGTTTCACTGTTTTGAGTTGTTCATGATGTTGACTAGTGATTGCAGTTGTATTTTAAGCACTATCTGTCACTGATAAAACTAAAATGCAAGCTGTTCATTTTAGAGAGACATCTGAATCATTTTTTGTTTCCATTTAAATCAAAAGTTTAACATAACTTGAATTCTGTGAGAATAACAAAATATGACTGCCTGCCTCGCTGACCGAGTGGTCGCAAGTGCTACTGCCGGGTAAGGGGTCTCGGGTTCGATTCCCGGGTCGGTCAGAGTACTACTGGGTTATTAAAAAAATCTCCGTAGTAGCACGGTGTCTAGAATCGTGCCCGGTATTTGACAATAGGCTCATAACATAGTCCCATGTAATAGACGGTGAGCACTCACCAAATGGTGAAAAGTGAGTGTTACATTGTAAAGTGGCATCAAGTGCAGTTATGTGCACCTCTGCCTACCCCTTCAGGGATAAAACGCGTCATGTTATGTTATGTTAAAAAAATATTAAACTATTTAGTGTATGTACAACAAAAATCAATATACTTTCTTACATAGGTATGTAAATATCTTTTTTCTCTTTATTTCCAGGCGTCAGAGGACAAACGCAGCCAGAAGGAAATTGGAGATATAGCCGGTGTGGCTGACGTGACTATTCGCCAAGCATACAAACTAATGTACCCCTTCGCAAGTAAACTGTTCCCAGACGACTTCAAATTCTCCACGCCCATCGAGTTTCTGCCTCAAATGTAGACTCAGGTACCCCATGTGGCATCTAAAAAAAAACTATCATAAAAATATGATAGTTTCAAGTATGCACGTCGAAATAGTGGATTTTCTGACGCGCTATATCATTTTCCCCCGTAGATATACAACTCTGATTTTGCACTTTTAAGACTATGTTTTTTGGTCCAAGTGTCGTCTTAAAGTCAATGGGGTACGATTCAATTTTGGTTGAATTATTTCTATTTATGTAGTACGGCTATTTCTGATAGAGTACACAAAAATATCTATGAAAATAAAATCGTAATTTTTCGTGTAAAGAACACGGAGTATGTAGTCGATGGAGAGCTTACAACTCAACTCATAATTTGAATTCAGTAATTTGATGTTATTTAGTGTAGTTAAACGTATTGTCTTTACGATAAGAACTATTTTTGCATAATTTTTTCGCTGTTTCTGTCTTATTATTGAGTATCAATTATGAGTTGTTTATCATCTTTATGATTCTGTTGTATAGGTACTTATTTCTGCTTTAGGATAATCACATTAAATATAACCTTTCATACATTCATTACTTCAATTTTAATTCTTTAACTAATTCATGTAGATATGTTAGTTTCAAACTTAAAATTTCATACCTTTTATACATGTAAAAATATTAATTTGTAGCTAAAAGTATTTATTAAATTCAATTCAATTTTATACACAGACTGAAAATTCCAAACTTTTATTAAATATAAAATCATTGCATCATTTATTGTCCTTCAAATTCTAAATTATTCATATCGTAATTTTATTTTATTTAATTTTCGAAAATAATCGTTATTTTTTCATTTCGCACTACAAATCATCCTCCATCTTGGTTATCAAAGAACTGAAGTTGTGTGATAGAAGATTGTTCATTCATTGTATCGTTGGAAAACTAACATTTAGTACATTACTGGTTTAGTATACACTTGGTATAAACAATGCAGATGGAAAGACGTGATGTATACTGATATGATAGGTGTCTGATTTCACTGTTCTACGTACAGCACAGATTATATAGACTTTTGTTACTAATAATAATTATGTATTGTGCATACAGCCAAGTTATTTAGTATTCAAATAAGACAATAAACATAATACAGAGACAGTCACTATGGGTTGGCTAAATCGGACACTGGTTTTGCACTAAAAACGTACAATTTCGTACAATAATAGATATTATCGCTGTACTACATATCAAATAAGTTGGCTGAATGTACTTAAAACAGTTTATTTAGTAGATATGACCGTATGTTGTAAATATTAAAACTGAGACATACTAATTTATTATTATGTTTGCGGCTTACTCACGTAACTGTTTCATGAGGAACTCGACTAGTTTCAAGTCATGCTAGAGGCTCATATTCATGAGCAGACTGTCGCGCAGCTACCGGCTGCTTGAGTCAGCTGCGGTGCGGGCCCAACGCGCCCTCTGCCGTGATTCACGCAGATAGAGCAAAGTGCGCGTGAGCAAGTCGAAAATATAATAATTAATTAGTATTTTGTATGACTTTTTACAAAATACGGTATATACGGATACATAGTTTTCTCTCGATAAACTAAATTGTTGGTGAAATCAGGGCAGCCTACTGTGGGCATAGACACAAGTGAACAACGTTGTATTTTTATATTAAATGTAGACATAAGTATTAACTATGATTTTCCGTAGAATGATAGTTCCTGTCACTGGTTACAAAGCCCTATTTATGTATTTATAGAATCCTGTGCCTAAAGACAAAAAAACAAGAATTTACTCTCTGTAGTTATATATACCTGGTGGTTTTTTCAATTGTTTTTTTGCTTTAAGCAATTACAAGAAATATATTTGTTTGTCCGTTAACTTGGACGTCCATTACATTGGACGTGCGGTAGAAACAAAACTAGCTGTTCATCCATTTACTATTTCATCTGTAATTTTTATTGCATAAGTCATTCTGATTGGCCGCCTAATACACATGGTGTTGCCATTTGTATTAATTTTCCAAATTCTTTTGTTCTTAATGAGAAAATAGGTCCATAAAGTGACAGGACGTTTTGTGATTTTTTTAATTATCTTTTTGATAGAGGTGACAGTTGTATTTATAGTACCTAATAATAGTTATTATTGTAATAGTATGTCTTGTATAGTTTCCGTCATGTTGGTACACTGTTTTTCTTTTTAATAGTTGTTAAGTTTCTCCTACTGGACAGTGTAACGGTGTATTTTAAAAATACAGAATTAACGATACTTACTCTTCTTTGTGTATTTGGTCATCTTTGTGGAAATTTCCTTAAATTTTTTATCTTAAAACACATGTCTAGAATCTTCCAATTTTACACCCTCAAAGGTGATCAAATATTGTTTCATGTATAATTAATAGATAGAATATATCTATTGATAGTAGACTGATACATTACAAAGTAAATGTAACCTTATATATATGGGCATAAATACTATTTTTGGTCTTACAAAACACTTGTTACCAATGCAATGAATTTCTATAGAGCTTTTTATATATACGGAATATAGTAGCTTGACTAATAAACTACAGATTATATTGTATTGTATAATATACCTTAATACCTATATAAATAAATATCATAATTATAACAGCGACCAATTTGAAATAACTTTGGGAATGCTGGAACTATAAATTATATCCTTAGATATATCTAAATGTTGGCTTATAAGCCTATATATCAATACTTATTACTTACATTGAACAAATGACTGACAGAAAGTCTAAGTTTCTATATTGTAATATACCATTAAGCACTTATTGGCAGTACTCAGAGTCATTTAACGCATTAACCTCTTGTATGTCGGTATTTAAGATACAATAGAAAATGCATTAATTATTATTTTTCGGGTTACTTACGTAATTATTTGACGAGGAACTCGACTAGTTACAAGCCATGCTAGAGGCTCATATTCAGAAATGAATACTACTGCACGGAGTCTCGAATTGTTTTCGGTATATGGCAATAGGCTCACCCCCTATTACATGGGACTCATAACATAAATAGTGAAAATTGTACAGTGGCATTAAGTGTCGTAATTTCCACCTCCGCCTACCTCTTCAGGGATAAAAGGCGTGATGTTATGTTGTTATTCTATAGAATTTATTAAAAATCAAGATTGATCCAGATATTTAATTTATAGAACTATTTAGATATTATTGGATTAAGATCAGTTTTTGAAATCTGCAGTAAATGACTGAGTACGCCGGTAAATTTCTTTATCCTAACATTAAACAGTTTAAGGATGTGTTGTTAATATATATCTGCCTATCCCTTTGGGGAAAGACAGGCGATGTTTATGGAATATGTAACTATACCTATTAGATAAATAGTATTTAAACGCTAGTCGAAAGAATGAATATTGCATAGAAAAGTTAATATATGAGATTGACATTAATATTGACATAATTTGTCGAACGTCAGTGTCAATTCTATAATTATGCTAGGTACTCCCGCGTGATTGCACCGCTCTACTCGGCTTCTATTGATGCTAGAGCGATGTTTTATAGCCTATAACCTTTCTCGATAAATGGACTATCCAATATAAAAAGAATTATTCAAAACGGACTAGTAGTTCCGGAGATAAGCGCGTTTAAACAAACAAACAAACAAACTTTAGCTTTATAAAAAGGTATAAGTATAAGTTTAATTTTTCTATTGGCCACTTTCGTCGGTAGTAGTGAAGGTTACACGCACATGATTTTATCGACGCTACGATTGTTGTCAATTTAAGTGATCTTATTCATAGTGATCTGAATTGAAATCTTTTAATAAGCTACTAATAACTACCACAGAGTTAAAGTTCAAGTTCAATTAATTTGCCGTCATCACTCGACACTGGCAGTATAGTGCACAACATTGTATTGTAGACACGGTTGCCATCAAGGACGTTGAAAAAGGCGGACTAAGGCAAAGGACTCACGGTGCGATATCCCCCCCCCAACCACCACAGGTGCCGGCCCGCAGCATTTGTAGAATACAGATAAATATGTAAAAAATGAAGCCAATTTTTACGGCGCGTTTTACGGTCGCAGCGGTTGCGATTGTTTGCGGCTCCCGCTGCACCGGCGGCTGCAGGCTAGCACCCGCGCGCTCTGTGTTCGGTTGGTGGGCGATCGCAATGGGATGGTCGGTCTGGAACTTTACTAATAGGGTAGTTTCCTAAATTTTATTTTAATGTCCGTCTGGTAGATTAGTTTCAAACTTTAGACACGTATTTTTTCTTTTCTCACAAAATTAAATACTTTTGACGATATATTAATTTGAAATATCGTGTGACGTCACAGCGTGCCACGTTTTGTTGCACGTTATGACGTAACGACCTCCCACTCCTAAACTTTGCGCCATTTTATCTAAATATTGCAACTTAATACGAGTAAATAATAAATACGTGTCTAATATTTTTTCATTATCTAAAATTCTGCCTCCTATCCGAAGCGAGCGCGGGAGAAGATCGCGCCGTGAGTCTTGAGCCTGTATGTCACTTACAAATGATTGAATCACCAAAATGTTAGTGGGTTATTTATGTGTGCGTGTGTAATGGGTTACCACGTTACCAGATTTAAGAAAATGACAGATGTCCTTCGTGTCAATGTGTGAATGTTCTGCGTGTGACTGTATAGTAGCTAGGCGCCACTGTCGTTGTTTCAAGTCTGTTTCCGCCTTTTTCCCTCGATATTGGTTGCCATATAGGAAAGAAAAAAGTTTATCTATTCATCCTTCGACTAGAATTTTAATGCTATTTTTCTAAGGATCAAGGAATAATTATGTATCTTTCACTTTAGGCTAGTTGATCAAGTTCAATGCATTTTGGTATAAATCCAACTAATTTCGTAGAATTACTTAGTAAAATTCGTAATATTGTTGTTGTTATTTCAGAAATTCATATAATTATCTGTATATTAATAAAAGTCTGGTATAATTTTATATAAATGAAAGAAAAGAACAAAAAATGCAATATAATTCTGGTTTTGTACATTAATTTTCTGTTTCAGCATTAATTCGTAAAGTATGATATTTTTTATTATTATATTTGGTAATTATTATAAAATACCGTTAGGTTCAATTCAGAAATATTGTATGTAACGGTAGTTTGATAAATAATAATATAGGCACAATCTTTATTTATCATCCTTTTGTCTATCACGAGAATCAGGGCTAGTTTATATTTGTGTAGTCAATATAGCAAATTCACCCTTATTTCCACATAGTAACGCACATATTCCTTCTAACAAGAAAACAAGACGCAAGGATTCATGTGCATTCGGCAGAATATGCACGTCTAAAAATGTTTGAAGAAAAATGTGTATAACGTATTGGAGATAGGGTTGAAATTGGTATATTGATTGACGTTTCGATGATGCCCTAATAAGAATTTATTCTTTAAAAAATGAAACTAAACTCACTCTGCCTAGTTTATGATCTCGTTCCTTAAACCGAATATTTCGTTCTTCAGTGTTGCCAGTAAATCCACATGGAAGCCGACTGTAAGTTTTGTAAAGATGTATCGTTGATTTTGAATGTATGTGTAATGTAACTAGCATTAATTAGTAATTATGAATAACGCCACAAAATAAATATAAATTAAGTGATTTAAAACATGTTTTATTTATATTTTTCGACAACTCCAAATACCTACTTTTAAAAATTATAAAATAATAACTAAAAATCTGTTAAATTCGTAACTTAGAACCACCACCAGAACCAGAACACTCTAAGAGCCATCAGACCACACACAGATGGGGCCCAGTGGGGCTGATGCCTGATGTGGAGCCGTGGAACGTCTAACCGGTTGCCGGGGCTCCGGCCCGAAGAGCAGAAGTAGCAACGAGTGGTTTTTAGTCAGTAAGAGTCTGTCATTCCCTAAGTCCTCTCCCTAAGTCCTAAGTCCTCGCCTAAGTCTAGAAGAGAAGTCATTGGATGAATTTCCCTCCTTAATAAAAAGCGATCGATTTTATCGTTTTCGATGTTGGGACTGCCCTGGATTCCTCAACCTGGATTCAAAACGTGGTGTAACTTCGATTTTCACACGCAGTATCTCTGTGACCCACAATGTTGACATGCACTTACGTGAATCTGTACATTTGTAAACGTAAAACACAACCACGACACAGGAGAAAATCTATAAATTTATAGGGAGCAACGTTTAAAAAACAAAAAGAATACAAATTGGGAAAAGTCCGGGTAAAGAAGAAGAAAATCCTGTACTTTTATGCTTACTATAACACTTCAACTTTCAACCACAGTAACATAAACACATAGACAATTAATTTTATTATATGAACCAGCGCTCGAACCTCCTTGCCTACATTGTCCAACGAGAATGAATTTATATCACAGGACACAACGCACGTGAGCTGAATATTTATTCCCTTTCGTGTTTCTCTTTGTTGAATAAAATTTAATTTTGTTACTTAATAAGGTCTCTAGGCAGTTAATGTTCTTTCTGTAAGGAGGTAGCCCTTTTGTAGGGCTTGGAAAGTGTGTGTTATCCTGTAGCTTTTACCTATATCGACATCGGTTAGGTAGGTAGATAATGATTGGCAGAATTATTTCATTAACAGCCTTTAAGTGGCCACTGCTACGCAAAGGCCTCCCGAACGGAGAAGGTTTGAGCATAAATTACGACGTTTGCTCAATGTGGGTTGGCGTTTATAAGCTCAGGTTTCCTCGCGATGTTTTCCTTAACCGTTTGTCTGTGTTGCCTAAATAATCTTAGAAAGTACATATGATTTGGAAAAAAATAACATAGGTACTTACCGTTGGTAAGATTTGATTCTGCATTCTCGTGCACGAGAAGCGGGCGTCATAAACCTCCGCGCGATCACGACTATTGATTACTAGCTTCTGCCAGCGACTTCGTACGCGCAATCCCGTTTTCTCTCATTACCTTACCGTAGGATTTTCAGAAATTGTTCTGTCGTAAGAACCTTCTCCTAATAACAACGAATACAACAAAAAAAAAAAATTATCAAATCGGTCAAGCCGTTTTCATGCTATGTCGTGACAACGGAAAATGGGTTTCATTTTTATAATATAGATTTAGGTTTTAGTATTAGTATCTCTTCTCAGGTTAGATTTAAGCTTATTAATTGTATTGATGACGTTATTCGTACTCGTCCAATGAGGTGGTCATTAGACGAGTTTTGCAAGTGTGCTTGCCGAGCAAAAAGTTTCGAGTGTGAAGTGACGTCCCGGTCGGCCTAATTATTTTCGAACTTTTAATGAAGTCTAAAAATCCGTACGTGTACAACCGTACAGAGATTAGGTAGGTATCTAGTAGGAATAAGTTTCCGTAGGTAACTAATATGACTTTCTTAAGCTAATGTTCGTCCTCGATTACTTTCGAGCGTGCTCGAAAACGATCGAGCGTTCTCGATCACTTTCGAGCATCCTCGATTACTTTCGAGCATCCTCGATCACTTTCGAGCGTCCTCGAAAACTATCGAGCTTCCTCGAAAACGATCGAGCGCCCTCGATCAGTTTCGATCGTCCTCGAAAACTATCGAGCATCCTCGATTACTTTCGAGCGTCCTCGAAAACTATCGAGCTTCCTCGAAAACGATTGAGCGCCCTCGATCAGTTTCGACCGTCCTCGAAAACTATCGAGCATCCTCGATTACTTTCGAGCGTGCTCGAAAACGATCGAGCGTTCTCGATCACTTTCGAGCATCCTCGATTACTTTCGAGCGTCCTCGATTACTTTCGAGCATCCTCGATTACTTTCGAGCATCCTCGATCACTTTCCAGCGTGCTCGAAAACTATCGAGCGTCCTCGGACACTTTCGATCGTCCTCGATCACTTTCGAGCGTCCTCGATCACTTTCGAGAGTTACTCAAAATCTATCGAGCGTCCTCGATTACTTTCTGGACTTACTCGAAATCTATCTAGTATTTTCTTACATTTTCGAGATATCTCCGCCGCAGGAGACGCTTTTGGTGTAGTATCGCGTCGCCTTCTCCACCACCGTAAGCGCGAGTCTGCGGACGGCAAGCAAAGACGGCAATCAAAGATCACCTGACACGTAGCAGACCCGAGCGTACGGCGCGTCGTGTAAAATCCAGGCGTCAAAGAGTCATTACTTCATCAGACACCACAGACGTACCCACCAGGATTGTTGCCTTGCTGGAGGGTAGGCTGTCATTATGGGTACTGGGGCCCTGGCTTTGAGCAAGTGTTGGAGGGAATGAGGTGGTTTTTAGTTAGTAAGAGTTGTAGAAGTCACTTCGTCAAGAGTAATTTGAGGACTTTTTACCCAAACTACCTCTACAAAAAGGGGTGCGGCATAATCGGTATTTGCACGCGGACGCTCGAATGCTAGCGGCGGGCGTGATCATAGAAACTACTTATCCTAAATGGATTATATTTTAATTACTTGGACGAATTGCTGATGGAGCGAACTATCTTATCAAATTTATATAATAAAATAGAAAATAGGTACCGAGGTACCTAAGCGGTCATCGTATAAGTCACTCACTAAAGTAAGTATTGATTCGTGACGAATTAACGGTTGGGCCCTACCATTTAGATTATCGGGCCCATACCTTTACTAAATTCGTTGGCCCTTTTATCCATATTAATGTGTTGGCATAGATTTCCCGTAGCCGACTAAGTTATTAGGTTAATTGAAAGCGTGCAATAAAATGTTGCATGGTAATCAGATATGTCGACGGACCACCTAGAAGGGACTGACTGTCTTTAACCGACTTCCCAAAAAGAAGGAGGTTATCAATTCGGCTGTATGTTTTTTTGTGTGTACGCGCCCATAACAAAATATAACCTAGGTTAAAGGTCATAGTTATAATCTGTCATAAAATTTTACACAGCTAGGTACTTAATATAAGGTATTTGTTACTAGTTTAAAGAATAAGTTTTGTTTAAAACTTGTGGCACCGACTTCTCAGCTATCAGTGGGTGGGTAACCTATAAGTACGTATGACTAATAATAGTTATTTTTTTAGGTTTTCGTTTTTGAAGTCCATTTTTTTATATACTATAAAAATATTGTTCGAATTCATCTTTGATCGGTGTCGAAGCGCCTACTGCTTTATAAAGGCAATTACACTCGACTGGCTAATGACGCGAACGAGCGCACGTTAGGCGTATTTGTAGTTAATATTAATGTATTCTGTAACCTCTCATCAATCTGTTTTTTGTCATTGTTCAGATTACACGCTATTAATTGTACTCGACTGCTTTAAATTATTTTACCACCTTGGAGTTTTCTACATGGTCCTACGAGCCTGATTGATAATACTTTCATGAAAATCAGCGATAATTTGAAGAAATCTCATAAATTATTAAAATATCAAGACGGGTTATAACAACGTGGTCAAGTTCGAAGGTGCTTTAAAAAGTGGCTTAGACATTAAATTCACATGTTATAAGTTGTATTTAACCCAACACTCTAAAGGTAGTATTTATAATAATAATTTAAATTATTAAAAGGTTAGTACTTGCACAAATTTATTATGTTACTTACCCAAAATATTCTGTGTCATTGAGCGAATACAGGTTAACTTTAATAATTTTTATGATCTTAAAGTTTAGAACTGAGTTCATTATTATTAATCGTTTGCTTATATGTTTAAAGTAACGTTTAAATTATTTAATTTAAGTATATCCGTAATTGCTCATTTTATATTTCGACAAGTAGATTGAAGTAAGTAAGTAATAGTTACAATTAAAGTAACATTGTGTTAAGTCATTATTATAAAAACCTTATTACAGTTACGAGTACAATCAAAATAATTGTGATTTAGTTTAACATTTTCCAAGCTGACACGCTCAATTTATAGGTAAACTTTAATGATAAACTTATTCAGTATTTGATCCTATTGTTATAAATTCCAGGATTTATCAATCGTCTCCCACGATGTCCACAAAAAGTGACAAGGCTGATATGGAAGTAGCACGGGAAGTAGCTCGGGAAATAGCGGAACTTACTAAGAAACGCAGTAGCTACAAGGGTCGCATAACTATCTTTTCTGGTTTTTTAAAGTCACTAGATATTTCATCGATAACATCAAAGGACATTAGCGAAATTGAAATGCGAATAGGTAAGCTCGAATCATTGTATGCTAGTTATGACGAGACGCAAACGAGGCTCGAATGTATCGCAGACTGTGAAACCCAGTTGTTAGAAAGGGATGAATTTGAGTCTCGTTACTATAAAATCCTCTGTCAGGCACAGGAAATAATAGCCACTCATAAAAAATCTCCCGTGCCTAGTGAATGCTGCTCTCATAATGGTAGTAATAGTAATAATAAACCCGTCAAATTACCTACCATACAGCTGCCTAAGTTCGATGGATCGTATGAAAATTGGCTCGAGTTTCGTGATACTTTTGATAGCCTAATACACTCAAATCAAAATATAGATATTATCAACAAATATCATTACCTGAGAGCGTCTTTGGAAGGTTCCGCTGCTGTGGTAATTAAATCCATTCAGTTCTGTGCGACAAACTATGATACAGCTTGGCAATTGTTGTGTGACCGCTACGATAATAAACGTTTACTAGTTCACAATCACATTTCGGCGTTGTTTAAAATCGAGCCAGTAACACGAGAATCGTCAAGTCCATTAAAACGCTTAATGGATCAATTTAATAAGAATTTCCGTGCATTGGAATCCTTAGGAGAGCCTGTGAAGCACTGGGATACACTTCTCATTTACATCATGTCACACAAATTAGACACTAAAACACTACGTGAATGGGAAGAGTACAAAGGCCGAATCACCAAGGATCACACTATTTCGCTTCAACATTTTATTGATTTCATGAAGATTCGCACTGATTTAATTGAATCTATAGAATGTCATACATCACAGAACACCACACATCGTAACACAAACTCTAAATCGTCCAAACATAAAACTATGGTTTCATTAGACAACAGTTCAAATAACAATGCAGCCAGCTTAAGTTCAGGGAAATGTCCTAAATGCAGCGAAGATCACAAACTAAATAACTGTCCGCAGTTTTTAGCGTTAAGCAATGAAGCACGACTTCAATTGTTACCAGGTTTTAAAGTTTGTTTTAATTGTTTTTGCGGTGGACACTACGCTAATCATTGTAAGAAGCCCGGTTGCAAATTATGCAAGCGACGTCATAACACACTCATTCACGTTGCAGATACTACCAAGACAAAACCAGTTATGCCTAGCGGACGAACTGATAACATTGTTAGCAGCACCCCGCCCGCCACTTCTACCGATGTGAATCCTAGCTTGACACTGTCGGCGAGCGTCGCGGCCTCCAGTCACCAAGTACACGGTCATCGCGTTGACGTTCTGTTATCGACGGTACTAATTAAGCTATATGATTCCAATAATCGCGAGCATTTAGCGCGCGCAATTCTCGATAGTGGTAGCACTTCTTGTCTTATGACGAATAAAATGTATCGTCAATTGAATCTGCCCTTTACACCCATAAATAAATCAATTATGGGGATTAACGGTATTTCGTCTCAAATAAATAAAATGTGTTTAGTATCTTTAAAATCGTTAGATGAAACATTTGTAACTAATCTAAGATGTTTTGTATTACCGTCGATAACAAACAACGTACCGTGTCATTCGCTCGACATAAGTACACTTAATATACCTAGTAACGTCTGTTTAGCCGATCCTAACTTTCACACGCCTGCGTCAGTTGATTTGATAATAGGCGCTGATGTTTTCTGGGATGTTCTGGGATCACAAAGGTTAGATTTAGGCGCTGGTAAACCTACACTTTACGAAACTAGGTTAGGGTGGATAGTTTCTGGCCCTTTAGTAAATAGTAAGGCCACTTTACCCAATCCTGTTTGTAATTTTGTGCAGCTTGATGCGGCTGCCGGTAATAGCTTTCATGAACAAATTCAGCATCAGCTTGAGCGGTTTTGGAGTTTGGAGGATGTAACTGAATGTTCCGCTACCTCACCCGAATACAAATTGTGTGAGGATCATTTTATGACAAACACTACGCGTTTGCCAGATGGACGATTTTGTGTAAAAATTCCGTTAAAGAATAAACCGTCCGTGTTAGGCAATTCATTGCATCGTGCTAAGCAATGTTTTTATTCTTTAGAGCGTAGGTTGTCAAACCAGGCGAACGTTTATAAAATGTACTCCGAATTTATGTCAGAATACATAACGTTAGGTCACATGACAGAATGTAAACTGACTACGGATGCACACTACATTCCTCATCATGGCGTTATTCGGGACAGCAGCACGACCACTAAACTGAGGGCCGTATTCAATGCGAGTAGCCCAACCTCTAACGGTGTAACCTTAAATAGCATCCAAATGGTTGGACCCACGGTTCAGGATGACCTTTTATCCATCCTTCTGCGATTCCGACAGCATAAATATATTTTAATGGCTGATGTCGAAAAAATGTATCGGCAGATAGCGGTACATCCTGATGACAGGGATTTGCAGAGGATAGTTTGGCGCTGTAATCCTAAAGATGCACTAAAGGCATATCAGCTCAACACGGTAACCTATGGGACCGCAAGCGCTCCTTTTCTTGCTACTAGATGCCTTAAGCAGCTAGGGATTGAGTGTGACGACAAAAGGATCTCCGAAATCATTACACATGATTTTTATGTTGACGATCTCTTAAGTGGAGGGGATGATCTTACTGACGTTGAAAACATGCGTGATAAACTTACGTCAGTTCTCGCCTCAGCTTGCTTTCCACTTAGAAAGTGGCAGTCTAATGAACCTCGATTAGTCTCGGAGCTGGCTCAGTCTTCCCGAAACCTAAACATAGGTGGAAATGAGCCCAGCAAGACCTTAGGTTTGGGATGGCAAGCTGTTGCTGATGAGCTGTGTTTTCCCACGGATCACTCGTTCGCCATGACAGAGTTAGTGTGTACGAAACGTAGTATGCTTTCCATAATTTCACAAATATTCGACCCTTTAGGTCTTGTTTCTCCTGTTGTAATTAGTCTAAAAATGCTCTTACAGAAATTATGGTTGCATAAACTGTCTTGGGATGAGCCGTTGACGCCGGACATAGAAGATATTTGGTTTGACGTAATTAAAGGGTTGCATCACCTCAATAATATTCGCATTCCACGTCGAGTAATAATCGACTCATTCAAACGTCTCGAGTTTCACATTTTTTCTGATGCGTCTGAAAGAGCATACGGTGCATGTCTGTATGTACGTAGCATTAATGAATCTGGCAAAATTCTCGTCAGATTATTAGTTTCTAAGAGTCGAGTAGCTCCCATTAAGGCTACTACGATTCCCAGACTTGAGCTCTGTGGAGCTTTAGTAGGTGCACGTCTTTATAATAAGGTAGTGAAGTCATTACGAGTTAAGGCGGCATGTACTGTGTTCTGGACTGATTCAACCATTTTATTGGGTTGGTTGAAAATGTTGCCTTGTAAATTGCACACTTTTGTCCGTAATCGCATTGGTGAGATATTAGAGTTGACCGGCGATTGTGTGTGGCGACACGTTCCCACTCAATATAACCCAGCGGATTACATTTCGCGTGGTGTTAGTGTTGAGTCTATTCAGGCATTGGACATTTGGTGGTCAGGGCCTAGTTTTTTAAAGGAGCCTGAAGTAAGCTGGCCTTTAAATTCTGTTTATACGGAATCACTGCCAGAAACGCGCACCGAATTGTCATGTGTTGCACAAATGGATGTAATCCATAACGTTAATAATTTTATTCAATTTAATCGTTTTTCTAAATTTAATCGGCTTAGGCGTGCGGTAGCGTACATGTTACGATTTATTGACGCATGTAGACGACGGTCACTTGTAAGCAACTATCTCTCTGAAGTCGAGTTACGTAACGCCCTGAACGTCATTATTAGAGTGTCTCAGATGGAGTCATTCAGTGAATATAATACTTTAGTAAATAATAAACGTTTAACAAAAAAGAGTAATTTGCTTAAATTTAATGTATTTATAGATGACTTTAAAATTATGCGAGTTGGCGGTCGTCTTGAAAATTCTACATTTACATATTCAAAGAAGCATCCAATTCTCCTACAGTCCACTCATCCTTTTACAGTTTTGCTTTTTGAATTTGAACATGAAAAGCTCATGCATGCTGGGCCACAATTATTGTTAGCATCAATTAGAGAGGCTTATTGGCCAATAGGGGGACGTAATTTGGCAAGGGCCTGTTATCGTCGCTGCATTAGGTGTTCTCGGATGAAGGGAAGGGTTATAGCACCAATAATGGGTAATTTACCACAGCAGCGCCTATCACCGGGAGGTTTTCCTTTTCAAACCGTTGGCGTAGACTACGCGGGCCCTATCTCTTCCGCTAGTCGTCAAGGTCGTGGTTGTCGCATAGTGAAGGTTTATATTGTGTTGTTCATCTGTTTCACTACTAAGGCAATACATTTAGAGTTGGTAGGTGACATGACTAGCTACGGTTATTTGTCAGCTCTACGTAGGTTTATTGCACGTAGAGGTAAACCGACACAGATGTTCTCTGACAATGGGACAACATTTGTCGGAGCATACAATGATTTGGCAAAGTTTCTAAAAACCAATTCGGATGAAATATCTGGTGACTTAGCAAATGAAGGAATAGACTTTCATTTCATTCCTGCCTATTCACCTCATTTTGGGGGCATCTGGGAGGCGGGAGTTAAATCCACAAAATATCATTTGCTTAGAGTGCTGGGAAATTGTAACCTCACTTACGAGGAATTAAATTCTACTTTGGTCCAGATTGAAGCCATTTTAAATTCACGGCCACTCACGCCTTTGTCTTCGCATCCCGACGATATGACGCCGTTAACCCCTGGACACTTTTTGATCGGACGCTCTCTTACTTCGCTACCAACAAAGGATCTTCAAGATCATAATGCTGCCCATCTCACCCGCTTCCATCGCATCGAGCAATTGCGGCAGCATTTTTGGACAAGGTGGAGCAAAGAGTATGTGTCGGAACTCCAACAACGGACTAAATGGCAGACTTCCAACCACCCTTTGCAGATCGACTCCCTCGTTTTGTTGAAGGAAGATCACTTGCCTCCCCTCAAGTGGAAGCTGGGCAGAATTATTCGGCTGTACCCAGGTGCCGACCAAGTTGCTCGCGTAGCGGAGATTAAAACCTCGACTGGAGTGGTCAGAAGATCTTTTAGTAAAATTTGTCCGCTGCCGATCGATGATAATCAGTAGCTGGTTGAAAGGAAGGCTTTCAACGCCCGGGGGCATGTCGAAGCGCCTACTGCTTTATAAAGGCAATTACACTCGACTGGCTAATGACGCGAACGAGCGCACGTTAGGCGTATTTGTAGTTAATATTAATGTATTCTGTAACCTCTCATCAATCTGTTTTTTGTCATTGTTCAGATTACACGCTATTAATTGTACTCGACTGCTTTAAATTATTTTACCACCTTGGAGTTTTCTACAATTGGTATTTTTTATGAAGTTAAATCAACTACAGGTTTTTACTACATGCATGTGAATATTCATACGATACCTACATATAATACGACAATAACACTGTACTGTCTCGTTGGCTGAGTGGACGCAAGTGCTAGCGTGCAAGGTCTCAGATTCAATTCCCGTGTCGGACAACGTCTTACTGGGGTTTAAAAAAAATTCTCAGTAGTAGCACGGAGTATAGAATTGTGCCCGGGATATGACAATAGACTCAACCCCTATTACATGGTACTCAGAACATAAATAATGAAAAGTGGGTGTTACACTGTACAGTGGCATTAAGGGCCGTAATGTGCACCTCTGCCTACCCCTTCGAAGATAAAAAGGCGTGATGCTAACACTTTGTATAATTTTTGTTTGTCTATGTGTCTTACTCTCTGTTTGTACTGCCTGAAATGGCTGGATCGATTTTGACGGGACATTTATTGGCAGGTTGGTAGCTAATGTACTCCGAGTCTGCGTCTTTCTAAAATAAGAGTAACATAGGCTACTTTTACTTTAGAAAAACGAAGACGAAGATGCAGCTTCAGCTACTGATAGCTACATGTAAATGGTAATACGAAAAACTAATCGTGGAAATGTTAGTAAGCAATAAACTCCAAGCTTTGGCAGGTTGGAGAGAGAGAGATGAGGAGATCACACTATAAACAACCGCGGGAAAAGTAAGAGTAAGAATATCGACAAAATAATACTCCTCTGTTTGCACCACGGCACGCCGCCATTAAAACAATTAAAAATGAATAACAGACCGTTTATGAATCATATTCTTAGATTAATGGTACTGATAAGGTTTTTGTTAAATCAATAAAATATTGCTTCCGTACCGAAGATCAAAGACGGAAGAGATCTGACGATCTGCTGGCGAACCAAGTGACCGATCTCTTCTGTCGTTGGAATATCTGCAACTGCAATATCTATACATATAATAAACTGTAGAAGTGTAAATTCTGTTCATTGAAAATATAAGAAAAAAATAGTAGGGTTTTACTAGATAGATACCGAACAGAAATGTGATTAAAAATTTTGTCTGTCTGTGTGTATGTTCGCGTATCACGCAAAAACTACTGGTCCGATTACGATGAAACTTCGTATGAATATACTGTAATATTCTGGGCTTGTGCCCACTGGGTACTTTTTATCCCGAAAAATTATATACCCGAAAAATCAAACCTAATTTTGCGGCTCAATCAAGTGAAACAAGTGAAGTGAATCCCTAGATACAGTTACTATACCAAACGCAAATATAAGTTTGTCGAATGTTGTGTTACCGCTCAGTGGACTTAACGCTGTAATTGTTGAAAATAGCTTGAACCGATATTATAAATGTGAAAATATGTGAAATCGGCTAAAGGGACCGAGACGAAATTTGGAACAGAGGTGCCCACCTCTGTTCCAAATTTCGTCTCGGTGAAGCCGCTGGTCATTAATCAATATTTTATTTATATCATTATTTGTTGGTTTTCTGTGAAGCCGCGGTGCCAAAGAACGACAGTCCCACGTGTACTAAAAGCTGAATCCCCTTCGGAATTAATTCTATTTTATATTGTTGGGAAACAGCCAAGTTACTTCAGCTACTTCAAGGCTTCACACAACTCAAACAGGTCCAATTTACATGGAAACAAAAGTTCAGATACCTAAGGCTGTCAGCTAATTTCAGACCACATATAAAGTCTGAAAGCTTAGACATTTGTTTCAAACTTAATATAACGCTAATCCAGTCTAGACTGAACTGTAATTTATTTCTAGATAAACTGCCCTTAATCTAGCCACTTAATGAACGTAAGGTACTTAAAATTAAGTCATTAATTAAATGTAAAAGGAACATTTCGCTACGTTCTGTAATAAGGAATAAATATTGTGAATAACGAATCTCGAGAGGTCTACAGTCTACACAAATAAAATTAGATAGATATTTGCACAAGAAAAATGAGCTTGCACATATTTAATGTGGACATTTGTGTGTGACAAAGGCTACACGTGAAAATAATGAAAACGGATCAATTTGTAGCGCGGGCTTTCCCAAGCGCTACGGCCTACGAGCTACGAAACGTCGGCGGGTAATTCTGCACTATTATCGCTGTATCGGTTCCAACCATTCAGTGCCGCGCGAGCTTTCATACAGAGTGCCCGTGTCGCACGCCGGTGCGTTTCTGGCGCGTATTTACGCACGCTGCCGTTCAACCTTAAATCCAATTAAAAAACAATGTGTCAGTGACCGCTAAGCACGTATAATGGGATAATCGTGTGATATAGATATAGTGCATAGTTCGTTGTAAGTGGAAAATGTTTTTGAAGGATGTGATTTTGGAAAAATGTTGAGGGCGTCCCGCGCGCGATGTGTGCACGTAGGATTGCTGTGGTTCATTTTGTGCCTAGGCGACGTAGACGGACTTATAGGTATGTTGGTTAAATTGCTTTATTAGCCATATAAGTATCAAAACGTTTATAAAAGAAAAATGTAGAGATTTTAACAGTAATTTGTGAAAAACCCCAGTATTTGGTGAGCTTACTTAGTTTTTTGATGCTTTTATGCGTATAAATATCGTGTAAATAGTATCCTTTATACTATATCTATTTTTTTAGAGCTTTAAGCTTTATTTACCTATTCCGTCATTAAGCATCAATCAGTTGCCAAGAAGGAATTAATAACCGAACCTAAAACAAAAACAAAACAAAATCATTTGCATCGCAATGAAACAATTAATGAGGTTGAAATTTTTATCTTGAATAAGCTTCAATCACCCTTTTTTATTCCAATCTCAATATTTATTAAGATAATACAACCCTAGTGGATGGTAGGAAATATTATCCTTTAATTTATGCACATGTTGGTCCACGAATAATGGATCGCCTCGTTGTTGCTATGCGAGAGAAATTAGCTTAGCGAAAGTAGCGATCTGTGGGGTCATAGGGTAACAGATGGAAGGGTAAAACTTAAAAAAGTTGTATATTGTATATTGTTTTGTATATTGTAATGCATTTTAGACGTAGACGTAGTTTAGGAGACCGAAAAAAATGGAAAACCAAATCTAACTTGATTTTTTTTGGTCTTTTGGAATCAAGTCTTTTTGACTTGTAGTGTAGACATTTATATAGGTGACCTAGATAAATTTACAACCTGTTTCATCACACGATCAATAATTGGATCATGCAGGTATGTATGCATGTCGTGGTTTTAAAAATTTCGTCACAAGCCTAGCTTCCTGCTCACCGCAAACCGCAATTATGATCACATACCAATTGGAGTAACTGGGTACCAAGTTGTTTTAGTCTTGGCTGCGATAGAGTAATTGGGACTGTCTCTATTAATATTATAAATGCTGGAGAATATTTGTTTGTCCGTTTTTCACGTCACTACGGAATATTTTGTGTTTGGAGATAGTAGGTTAGAGGGTAATATAGTAATTAATTTAAATTAATCATGGGCTTGTTTTAGTTAGTTAACATGAGAATTATAAGATTTTAGACATAACCTAACTCAATATTCAGTATACCAGTAATTTGGTGAGCTAAGTATTATTATTAATTACTAACTGTTGTCTGCGACTTCGTTTGCGTACAATATGAATTTTGGGACATAACTACTTCTTGATGCATCAATTATTATCTGCCGATTAAAGTTTTTTTTTTATGGCATAAGCCGGTAAACGAGCAGATGGATCACCTGATGGTAAGCAATCGGCGTCGCCCATGGACACCTGGAACACCAGAGGCGTTACAAGTGCGTCACCGGCTTTTTGGGGATTAGGAGTTTGAGGTTCGTTGGGGATTCAGGGATTGGGGAGATTGAGGAAGGGGAAGGTAATTGGGCCTCCGGTAACCTCACTCACACGATGAAACACAACGCAAGCGTTGTTTCACGTCGGTTTTCTGTGAGGCCGTGGTATCACTCCGGTCGAGCCGGCCCATTCGTGCCGAAGCATGGCTCTCCCACACTTATATTTCCGTAATATACTTATAGTTCCGTCAAAATCGGTCCAACCATTCCAGAGTTCAGGTAGTACAAACAGACAGACAGACAAAAATTGTAAAAAATGTTATTTTGGTGTGTGTTTGAAAAAAAGCGGTTATTTTAATATTACAAACAGATTCTCTAATTTTATTTATCTGTATAGATGTGTACATACTAAAACCTGATGTACCAACGTATTTAATAAACCTAGCTTCGATATTATTATGTATTCTATCGATATTTGATGTCATTAGCGTTAGGTCCGATTTCGTGACTGAGTTTCGCGAACTACCACACCTAAGCTCACGCAACGATTGAATAATCAAATGGCCTTTACATACCTCTACTTATGTTATGTTTTACTTGGCTTTTGTGGACCACATAGTAACTGTACAATCGTGTATAACTGATGATTAATAAATGAGAATCGCCCTTGTTTTTATGTTTTTTTTTTAATGTTGCCTTGCACTATTTTTGTCAAAGTCAAACTCAAATTAAAAAATCAAAGCATTTATTTCAATTAAACCATAATTTGGTACTTTACAAAACGTCAACAAATATAAAATGTCTGGCAGTCTGCCTCTTAGTGAAGCTACGTCGTCGTTTCAAAATGTAAATTCGAATGAAGAAGAACGAGAGAGAGACTATATTCGTTACTCTTTTAAAAAAAAAATATGTTTCTGTCTTCTGTGTAGTGGCCGTCGTGTTTGGTTGGTTACCAGAACACAATTGATCTGAAATTGTTCCGTGCAAGAACCGAATCTCTTGCACACCAGTCGCGTACTCAGCCATTGCCCTAAACGAGCTGTGAAATAAAATGAAGGTTAAAATTATATTATGTGTGTTATTGTCTCATTCAACATTTTAATTTATCTCTACGTTTTACGTGACAAACAAAATAATTAATGCTCATTATTCTCATTGGTCTCATGTCATTGGATAGTCCAGCTGTTTGACAATGTCTATGTAGTTTCCTAAAATTTTAGCTAGAATTTGAAATACTAAAAGTGCTCCGTTTTCGCGCTTATCCCCGTCGTTCTATTGAATGAATGAATGAATGAATGAATGAATGTCATTTATTTCTCAGTACATGGTGCACACAGATCTTAAAATTAACAAAGTTCCACACATACTACCGTTACCGGTGTAGAAATATAAAATTGTATGTATTGCTACGACACGTGCTAACATAACACCAATGTGGAAGATAAGAATGTATAACCATAATTAATTTAAATTAAAAAGTATTTAAGTCATAACGCTACAAATGATTTATTATCCAAAGAGACTAAAATAAAAATCCAAATAAAAAAAAATGCAAGTCACTATGGATTTGAAATTCGAATAGGCGACGACGCGTCTGACAAATAGCTGGCAACCCCACTGAAGCGGACTCCCTGTTCTAATTTCATATTTCGAATTTCGCACAGATGATTATTTCATAGACAATTATGACATGCCGCCATTAATCCGTCGAGGGGTTATATATTTTTACCGTGATCGCGAATAGTTCGGGAATCGATATCCGTAGGGAGTAACTTCTATTGTGTCGGTTGAATAGAACTGTACGAACTCATTGATGACGTCCCACAAACATTTGACTATTCATCTATGCAGCTTTATTTGTGTAGAACTCTAAATAACAATAATTTTAATCTGCCGTTCGATTGTCAGGCCTCTGATTTTGTTTGGCACGTTCTTGGTATTTGGTTACGCAGTAATTATTTTAAAAGGAATAACTTATGGCTATTATATTATTTTCTGTAAAAGTGCAGATTGATTAATATCGTCATTTGTAGTGCAAAACTGATATTTATTCGGTTATGCAAGATTTTATTAGAAGTTCTACTAGTTAGTATAAGTAGTAAAGACCTGTGCACTGTTCATCGCACGTGTCACCCCACGAAAAATACCTCTTCGAAAACTAAAGAAAAAAAAAAACATTATTTCAAGCTCAAAAACAAGTGACATGTAGAGAAGACTATTGGCTGGCTACTTGTAAAAAAACCGACTTATTTGTAGACCAAATAACATTTTTGATAGACAATGTTAATGATCAAAAATTTTATTCTTTTTACAAAAAAAACTATATTATCTATAGTCACAAAAGTAGGTACAACCGATACAATTTTCTTACAATAAACTTAATCTTACAATGAATGTAGAAGAACCAATAAAGAAAACGAACGACATTTGCTTTACAAAATCGTTGACATGATAACTCATCAATCATTTAGTTGCAGAATAGCGCTGTTACACCGTAACGGTGATGTTCACACCTTGATATCGGCATTAGCTACCGATTTTAGGGTGCCAATGATTAATAGTTTACCCGATTCCCACTCGATTAATCGGAACGTAGTACATCACTTAATTTTTAGTTCGAAAGTGTGTCTGCAATTAACTTTTATGGCCCTCAATCGTGATTAATAAATACATAGGTAAGTAGTTGAGAGATTTAAGCCAGCTGAGTTCTCAAAGTGTGTTCTACACCTTGGCAAAACGACTGATAGATAGAATAAAACAGTTAGACATAGTGTACTTTGCTGACTTATAATAATATTTTTTTGTTTTACTGGGAACGTTCCCATGTGATAGTGATGCAGACGAATACTTTGATGCCTAAATTAAGGGTATAATTTTAGTTATTTCCTATTTTTACTTTTGTTTTATTAAATAGTTTAGTTGTAGTTCATTTTGGTTAGTTTCAATGAAACGCACCGTAAAATGTCAATGATTTATCTTATGATGGTCAAATTGAAGTTCCTACAGCATGAAATGCGACCATTTCATGAATTACTGAAACATTTGATGAAGTGTAATCTACGATATGACCATGATAGATACGTAATAAATGTAGTTAGTTATAATACATACTAGTGTTTGAAAATAAATGTAAAATTTATATTTATCACAAACTGCAACAATATCAAAAAAAGACGTAAAGAATTTTCTTATAAAAAAAACTGCAAGAACAAGCAATTTCGATTCCGACGTTCGTGTTTATCGGGAAGTTCAAGACAAGTGGGTCATTCTCAACTGTTGGTTTACATTGTTGCTTACGACACGACACGATATGTCATTGTTAAAAAGTTAGTCTGTAGGACAAAGGTTTACTTTAATACAATAGTTTGTAGACGAAGAAGTAAACTGATGAAGTTTATGCTTTAATACTAATTTGGTGAGTTTGTAGTGTTATGGAAATCATAACGTAACTGGTACAACGGCTACACATCGAGCTTTACATAACCAGTATAAACTGAACGTTAAATGTGCGGAAAAATGATGCGACGCGACACCAGGATAAACTGGTTTTGTATAGGTTGATGTGTGACCGTGTGTACAAAGTGGGTGTTACCATTTATCTTAAACTTTATCATATGAAGCTAAAGAGTCCGTTTGACCGCGCTAATCTCAGGAACTACAGGTCCGATTTGAAAAATAC